GTATTGACCCAACGCTCTCGCGATTTGCAAGGTGATGAGAAGTATCAACGTTGGATGGAGCTTCCAGAGAGTGTTCGCAACACTCTGACGCCATTTCTTACATCTACCTATACTGTCACTGTTGTGACGAATCATCCTGAGGTCAACTATCCGCTCTTTTCTCCTAAATTGACTCACAGCGAGTGGCTGCGAACGCTGGTGCAAGATCTTCTACAGACTGGCAATGGAGACAACGCAAAAATGGTCTTCTCAATATCGAGTCGTGTTGTGAAGGGTCAAGATATTTCCATCTCTTCGTTCCTTTTACCATTTGCAGTCCTGAACCGTATCGTTGGAGGGACCGAACAAGAACAACAAAATCTTCAACGCGAATTGATGAGCGTTCTCTCACATCCTATTCCGGAGACAAACAACAATGCTCGCGAGACCATCATTAGCAGTAGCCAGGTAAGAATTCTCGTGGAATTGAACCGGCTTTCCTGATACTGACGATGACCCTTTCTTTGACGGTAGAGCGTCTTTGAAGTACTAGACTACCTGTCTAGATGGCTGCAAGGAAAGAAAAAGCATCTCAATGGCCTCAGTCACCATTCCAACCAAACGAGTCGTTCCCATAAAGATCAAAGCCGTGACGCGCTCATTGATAAATACTCATCGCAGATCAAGTCTGTCGAAAATCTTTTATCTTCAATACCGCCCGAGATCATCTCTAAGCGAGCTGTTGAATGTAAATCATTCTCCAAAGCACTCTTCCATTGGGAACAGTACATTCGAAAATCCAAGGTCCACGGAGGATCACAAGAGAGATCCAGCCTCGAGCCTCTATATCAAAGGTTACAAGACATCTATAGCCAGATTGACGAACCTGATGGGATCGAAGGAATTTCAAGCCACTTGTCCGCACTAGACATTGATCAGCAGATCCTTGAGCACCGAAAAGCTGGGAGATGGGCTACAGCGCAGAGTTGGTACGAGCTACAGCTCGAGAAGGAACCTGACAACGTCGATGCGCAATGGAATCTTGTGACCTGTCTCAAAGAATCTGGCCAACAAGGTAAGATCAAATATGAAACAGTCTTTCCGTACTCTATCTTCTTGCTTACCCTTATCTAGATGCTATTCTCACTCGTTTCGAGGTTCTTAAAGAGAATGAATCAGCCGCTTCACGGTTCTTGCCCTTTGCGGTTGAAGCTTCGTGGATAATGAGCAGATGGGACAAGCTAGAGGGTTATCTTGACCTTTGTGCCAAACAAGGAACTGAAGAGTTTAACGTTGGGATAGGCTCAGCTCTTGATGCTCTTCGTCAAAAGCAAGACGAGTCATTTACTAACAAAATCAACGAGCTCAGACTCAATGTTGCCCGCTCGCTGACCACAAATTCGGTGGCATCACTACAAGCATGCCACGATGACATGCTCCGCTTACATGCTTTGTCGGAGGTTGAATCCATTGCCAAAGCACGATCAGGTCATTCGCGTCCGGGCTTGCTAGGTGCCTTAGACCGACGGTTGGATGTTCTGGGCGGCTACCTTTCCGATAAGCAATACCTACTAGGATTGAGGCGAGCTACAATGGAGCTGGCGTGAGTTCATGATCCATAAAACACGACACAGATTGCTAAAACTACGATACAGGGGCGAGTTTGCAGATTCTGATATATCCGCGGCATGGCTCACTAGTGCTCGCCTTTCAAGGAAAGGCAATTTCAGCAGTCAAGCGTATCACTCGATGCTCAACGCAGCACGGTTGAAAGACAGATCTGCTTCCATAGAACATGCACGACTCCTCTGGAAAGATGGACACCATCGAAAGGCCATTCAGACTCTAGAGGGTGCGATTTCTGCCAACGAAGTAACCCCGAGTACATCTTCTTCAGTCGAACTTGAAGCCATGTCGTTTCTCTCGGGTCGTGGGCAGCATCAAAATGAGTCTACTGCTCTTGTAAGTTGCACAACATAGTTCACATGGACCGGAATACTAACCGTCTAGGCTCATCTGATGCTAGCCAAATGGACGGACAGGGCTGGTCAGACCCACTCCCAGGCCATTGTCCAGAGATACCGAGAGGCCATCAAGCTGTATCCAAAGTAAGTTGGACTACTACCGCTTTGACCCTGTCAGTTCTAATGGGAAAATAGGTGGGAAAGGGCACACTATTACCTGGGGAAGCATTACAATAAAATTTTGGAGTCTGAGAAGGCCAAGCCCATGGGAAAGGAAGCTCAGATATAGTTAGTTGATCCAACTTCCCATTTTCCTACTTGAAACTGACCAATATCATACAGCTTGAGTGGAGAGGCCACAAAACTTGTTATTGACAATTATCTTCGCTCGCTGACATATGGGACCAAATATGTCTTCCAGACTCTACCCAAGCTTCTGACCCTCTGGCTTGAACATGCTTCAATTGTCGAACAGCCCATTGATCCGAAGAGGGGCGATAACGAGTAAGAAAGAGTTTATTGGCGTGGCTACTGGTAAACATTTGCTAATGATTGACTCACTACACACCAGGGAGTTTCAAAAGCATACACAAGCGCAACGGAAGAAGAGCCTCGATGAGATGCATACCCAACTGAAGAAATTCATTGACAAACGCTTACAAGCGGCTCTGGTGAGTTTAAGATATGCGATTTCCCCGGATAGCCAACTAACAGTTGCAGTTATTCACAATCCTACCCCAAGTGGTTGCCAGGATCTGTCACCCTAACATCACAGTTTATGATCTGTTGACACGGATTGTAGCCAAGGCGGTTCACAACTTCCCACAGCAAGGTCTCTGGACAGTCCTTGCCGTTGTCAAGTCGTCCAACAAGGAGCGAGCTAAAAGGGGATATAATTGCCTCCAGAAGATCATAGTAAGCATCCTCCATTTGAAACAGAGTATGAGAGACTTAACTTTTTTTCCCCCCAGGACTACGGTAACAAGTCAAAAGGAGAATCCTCAACAGCGACTGAGATCCGTCGCATGATCACTCAAGGTACAAAGTTCTCAGAAGAACTACTCCAACTCTGCCTTGCTCCGGTAGAGGAAAAGTCATCTCGAGTTCAACTTGGCCGCAATCTAGGGTTTAATCATAAGGTTGCCCCATGCCGATTAGTAGTGCCTTTCCAGGCAATGTTGATCCCAAGTCTCCCTGCCAGTCAGAACATCGAATACATCAAAGGCTTTAGGGCCTTCCCTCGGGATCCAACAACCATTGAGGGTACGATCATCACCCTCCTATTCCCTCGGAGACAAGCTAACCGAAATTAGCTGTTTTGGACGAAGCACAGATTTTGAATTCGCTTCAAAAGCCACGCAAAATTAGCCTGCGAGGATCTGATGGGAAGATTTATAATGCGCTTTGCAAGCCCAAAGACGATTTGCGCAAGGATCAACGTCTCATGGAATTTAACAATATGATCAACCGGTTCCTAAAGAGAGATGTCGAATCAAGCAAGCGGCGCATGTGTAAGTGATTTGATGAACTTTTGGCTATTCCAAAGGCTGACCTAGAACAGATATCAAAACGTACGCTGTGACACCTCTCAACGAGGAATGTGGTCTTATTGAATGGGTTGATAACCTCCGCACACTGAGAGAGATCGTCATCAAGTTGCTGCGCGAAAGAGGCATTTCACCAAACGTGGGTACACCACATCTAACACAATACCCAGGGCCGTGTTATTAACGTGTGTAATAGTACAACGAGATCAGGAATGATCTGAACGAAATTTGCGCTGATCGATCATTCGCCAAGTTGCCCCTATTCACCACTAACATTCTGGCCAAGTAAATCTTCTGTGTCAATATCGCCCGTGAGTGCACTATACTGACAAAGTTACAGGCTCCCGCCAGTTCTTCATGAATGGTTCATCGAGATGTTTCCTGAAACAGAGGCATGGTTTACAGCGAGGCTGCGGTATACCCGGTCTTCTGCTGTGATGTCAATGGTGGGATATGTTCTTGGGTATGTTCTCTCTCGCCGTCTAATATTTTAAGGGCTTTCGATCTGCTTTCGCCCGATACCCAAAGTTCCATCATGTTAACCAGTTTTCTTTTCTATGCAAAGGTTGGGCGATCGACATGGCGAAAACCTTTCATTTGAAGAAGGAACAGGCGGTCTCTTACATGTTGATTTCAATTGTCTCTTTGACAAGGGTCAAACGTTTGAGAAGCCCGAGGTGGTACCATTCCGATTGACCCATAACATGATCGATGCCTTCGGGGCCTACGGGTACAATGGTTAGTTGGAAGATATCTTCGATGTGTACTCTCACGCTAATCTCCATGCTGTATAGGTCCCTTCAGAAGGACTTGTGAAATTACGCTCAGCCTACTGCGACAAAACGAGGATGCCTTGATGACCGTACTCGAGACGTTTTTACATGATCCAACAACCGATTTCATTGGGAAGAGAGTGAGTACATTTCAACTGCAGTATAACAAGGCACCTCCTAACAAATCTCTTTACCCCCAGCGTCGCACCCATGTGAATGTCCCGGACACACCGGCTGGCGTTTTGGAAGATGTTCGAAACAAACTCCGTGGCTTCATGTCTAAGCAGCCCATTGCACTTTCGGTGGATGGTCAGGTGGATGAATTGATCATACAAGCAACGGATAAGAAGAAACTGGCATCAATGTACATCGGATGGTGTTCGTTCTTCTGATTTATTTTCTTTTGGTCATACATTCTATTCAAGTGCATAGGAAACTGCAGTTCTTCCATCCTTGTTATCTTTATTCCTACCGCTATTTCATCTACTACCTGATAACTAGGTCTATCCTACTTCTCAACAACTGAGTATCTGTACTTACTACCAGAGGAGGGGATCGCAAAATCTTCATAACCCTTACATTAAAAGTAGTAGTAGAACTTGTTGATCGTTGCGTAGAACTAGCTATTTTGGATGTCGTATGAGATAAATTCAGTTGCCCGCACCGAAGACCACGCGCAATCCATCGCTAGGGCTGAACAAATACACAAGACACGAGACTGCAAAAATTCTCGGTATTTAGTTTCGATTGTGGCCTCGGTTACGGTTTGGACTCCGACTTCGACTGCTGTAACCATAGCTGCTGTAGCTTGGGCTCCGGCGTCGGTGATGCCGCGAGTCTGTGCGAGGGCTACCTCTGCGCGGTGGTGGTGAGCGAGATCTAGAGTATGAGCGAGAGCGAACAGGAGATCGTGATCTTGATGCAGTCTGGGGCCGATAAATGTCATGGCGTTCTGTTGGTCGACCGCCTCCGTGTCGTCTAGGAGGAGATGAGGGACCTGCATATGGTCCTCGACCGTATCTAGAGCGACCACCATTCCCTCGAATTGACGCAGGGGGTGGCGAGCGCGAGAATTTGCGGCGAGGGAGAACGATTGAGACATTTAGGATGGCCCCGTCAAGCTGAGCCTCATGCATGTGGGCAATGGCCGCCTCTGCGTCAGCGGGGTCGTAATAAAGGATATATGCAGTCCCCCTATTTGTCATGACTGTAATGGTGTTAGGAGACAGATAAATCTCGAAGAGCAAGTCATAAGCGAGTCTTACAAGCTTTGTTGATTGGAAGATCGAGATACTCGATCTCTCCAAATCCCCCGAAGATCTCTCGGATGTGACTTTCTGTGACATTTTTGGTCAATTTTTCTACCACGATCTGTTGAGAAAAATTTAAAGTCAGCTCTAAGTTCGGAGATATGGTGGCTACCACTAGACGTATGGCTATAGCACAGCAGGATTAGAACGGCACTTACCTTGGAACTTCTTGGGGGGCTAGGGTTGGGAGTAAGCGAGCGGCTTTCGCTCCGGCTATTGTAACGGCGACCACCTCGACTGCGACTGCGAGATCGGGTTCTGCCACGAGACGGGGATCGGGATCGGGATCGGGTTTTTGAACGATAGCGATCGCGTCGTCCCTGTGATGGACTCCGGGTGAGGCTTCGGGATGGGCTGTCGCTTCGGTGTTTCGAACGATGTAAAGAACGTGACCGTGCTCGGTCCTGATCCGGTGAACGTAGAGGTGATTGTCCACGAGGTGATCTTAAGGACATGTTGAAGATTCAGCGCACGGCGCGCGAGGTGGATCCTAGAGCTTCAAGTGGTACAAATTGGAGATGTAGAATAAGAAGCTCCAGAGAAGGAAGAATTGAAATAGGAAAATCAAGAAGAGGGAGAAAGGGAGGACTCGGAATACTATGCCAAGAGAGAGAGAGAGAGAGAGGTTGAGGGAAGGGTTATTATGCATTTTGGCACTAACCTAATTCGGTAATTACCTAGGGACACTTTATACGCACTTCAACTGACTTCACCTGACTTCAAGAACCTATAACTTTTATTATACAGCAAAATCTACATATGTAGGTATTTACTTCTAGCCCTCCCTCCATCTCTCATACTCTTGGATGACAGTATCCGTGATTTGCCGCCGCACTTGCCCTAGTGCATATTCAAAGTGCTTCCACTGCACATCTTGTTCCTGTTGTGTTTCCTCCTCCTCATCAAGTGCTGCATCTCCGGCAGTTTCACAGATGCTCACAATCTCAGCACCAGAATATCCGTCAGTCAGAGATGCAAGATTATCCATGTCGACGTCTGGGTTCACCACGGACTTATTGGCCCAGATGCGTAGGATTTCCCTGCGGGCCTCAAAGTCCGGAGGGCCAATATAAAGAATATTGTCCAATCGTCCAGGTCGCATTAATGCAGGGTCTAAGACATCGGGCTTATTTGTTGCAGCAATGACCAAGACATTTCGGAGCTCCTCGATACCGTCCATTTCATTTAGCAGAGTCGTAAGAACATTGACCCCTCCCGAGCTACTGCTGCGCCGAGCAGCAATGGCATCAATCTCATCGAAGAATATGATGCTTGGTCGTGCTGCCCGGGCCTTTCTGAAGATCTCTCTCAATGATCGCTCGGACTCTCCGACATACATGCTGAGAATCTCCGCGCCCTTGACTGCCAGGAAGTTCAAACCCGCCTCTGTGGCTAACGCTTTGACTGTCAGTGTCTTGGAACAACCCGGCGGCCCGTAAAGTAAGACACCTTTTTTACTATTCACGTTAAGTCTGCGCATCCGTTGAGGATACTAGGGGTTTTGAAAGAAAATTAGTCTTCAAGGCAAGGGCTCTGTGGGATTTGAAATACAGATCTTACCTTCAAGGGTCGCTCAACGGCTTGTTGGAGGCGTCTTTTGATGTCATGCTGTCCACCGATATCTGACCATCTCACCTTTGGGGTTTCCAAGAATACTTCCCGCATGGCCGTGGGACGAATTTCCTGCAGGGAAAGCAGAATGTCGGTTTCTTGTATCTCCAATGAGATGGTCAATTCATCATCGATGGAACCTCCATGGTGCCAGCTATATGGATCGACCGGGGTGGCCGATATGGCCGTAGGATTTTGGTCCAATAGTTGCCGTTGCCGGGCTTTGCGACAGATCAATTGCAGAAGAGCGAAAAGGTCAGCTCCAACATATCCGTGTGTCTTTTCTGCTAGTAGCTCTACCAGCTCGTCGGTCAAACCGGCAGATACTGGCCCACGAATGGCATGTAGTATTTCAGCTCGGTCCTGAGCAGTAGGGACTTGGATCTCGATTTCTGTGCCAAGTCGATGGGGCGTTCTGAGAGCATCATCGACTTGATTGGGGTGTCTTGTGGCGGCCACCACTAGGATCGATGTATTTCGGATAGCATCTAGATTCTCGCAAAGAACAGATGCAAGGGACTGAGACTCAATCGAGGTTCGCTTGGGGGCAATAAATTCCAACTGGTCGATAATGATCACACTGGGCTTAGAGCGAGCCGCCTCCTGGAAGATATTGCGTAGCTTAAGCTCGCCCTCATTGATACTTCTCCCCAAAGTTGACATGCCAACTTTGAATGTTTGCTTCCAGCCAGCCTTCTCGATCTGTTCTAGAAGACTTGTTTTGCCAGTCCCCTTTGGCCCATAAAGTAAAATTCCTCGGCTGTTTTCGTAGAATGATGGCATTGCGGGCTTCCGTGAATCAAAGTTAAAATCAGACAAGCTTTCATTAATGTCGTCAATCTGGCGGGAGAGGCCTCCAAGGCCAGTGGATTGCACCGCAATGACTGAAGACCTTTCTTCTTTTCTTTCTGTGACTGGGCCGAGGGAAACCTTTGAGGTCTCTGTGAATTGAAAAAGGGTATGACTAGAGTGAGGGTTCTGTGAATGAATATTAACCACTCGAAAACTCCTGGGTTGGGCCCTGAGCTCCAACTCAAAAGTCAACCCCGTCGTCAAACACCCGCATCGGAGAAGCTTTTCATCTAGGGCCCATTCCCAGTGCGATCTGTCACTTTCTGAAATTGAGCCATGTTTGGCAATTTTCTCAGGATCTGAACAGTCCTCCAATGTCACCACATCAATGTCTTCTAGGGGGCCTTCAGCCCTGGTGATAGAAACTTTCTCTCCGATCTTGATATCATAGCATTCCTGCATCGTCCTTGATATTTGCATGACTGTGCTCTGGATGTTCTCTGAGGCGTACCATGCTATGGCAGTCTGTGGCGGTCCATCGCCTTGCCTCAGCGTGCAGATGCTCTCTGTTTGAAGCCTCAGAGCAGCTAGCGAAGAGGAAGATAGATAGACACGAAATGCATCTTTGAAATCCTTTCGTGCCTGCTGCTTTGACAGTGGACGAGCAGTGAAACTGCGAGGGTCAGACATGATATGAAAAAGGACCTCGACGTGTTTGCAAGAAAGTTGATATTCTCGGAAACCTTGTCCTTTTTTTTTTTTTTTTTTTTTTTCTTTTTCTTTTTGATTCTCTCTCTCTTTCCGTGCCGGATATGTTAGAAGCTTGAGATCATAGACGAAGATTTTACTGCATGAGACCTTTCAACACTGAAAAGTTGTAAAGAATATCCTGTCCGAATATTTTCCAGAGTTTTTGGTGGGGGGAGGAGGGGCAACTCCCGGAGGAGGTTGAAATTGAACAAGATTCTCCAGATTGTGTTCAAACAAGACTTGGAAGATTTGGTCTATTGAGAAGAGGAAAGGGAAAGAAACTATTAAGATTATCCCAAAGGGAAAGAAAAGAAAAGAGACGAGAGGAGAAAAGAGAAAGATTTAAAGAAAAGTGGGTCACCCGGATATCAGTACATTGTACATAACTACATGTAACTACATATGTAACTTATGTAGTTAACTATAGTTACCTACAATGAGAGAATCAGGTATTAAAAAAGGTATAGACACTACGTCAAGGTATCATAGGATATGGACAAATTTGTATGATACTCGAATGTCCATAGGCACCAACTGTTTGGGCATAAAACTTGGACATTCAGATCTTGGCACATGATAATGTAGCGGGCAGAACAAAAACGAGATACAGAAAAGAAAGAGAGGGGGGACATAAGAAACAGGTGGCAGCTTAAACACGGCGACAAGGGAGATCATGGGCAAAAGACAAAGGGTACTGATACAGCAACTAACAACACTTGCCCCCAGAGCTGCCATTTGGGCCGGAACCTTGCTGGTCTATATTAACGCCCTGAGAACCAGATTGTTCGGTCTTGGAAGTGTCCATCCCTTTCTTGATATCCGATGCAAGGCTGTAGAATGCCTTCTCAATGTTGATGTTGTTCTTAGCCGAAACCTCGAGGAAGGGAATACCGAGTTCATCAGCGAGCTGCTGGCCTTGTTCGGTAGAGACTGCCCTTTTTTCTTCCCAGTCACACTTATTTCCAATGAGGATCTTGTGTACACCTTCACTAGCATGTTGCTCAACGTTTGAAAACCAGGTCCGAATGTCTAAAAGAAAGAAGGGGGAAAAAAGTCAGACACATTCAGCGGATTAGGAGGGGGGGAAGAAGTCATACTTTGGAATGATCGTTCATCTGTCACGTCGTAGACCAGCAGAATACCCATGGCACCTCGGTAGTATGCCGTCGTGATAGTGCGAAAGCGCTCCTGACCTGCAGTGTCCCAGATTTGCAACTTCACCCTCTTGCCATCCAACTCGATCGTACGAATTTTGAAGTCAATCCCGATTGTAGTGATGAATGATGGGGTAAAGGAGTCTTCGCTGAATCGCAACAGACAACATGATTTGCCCACGCCCGAGTCCCCGATCAACAACAGTTTAATCTATGGTAAAGTTAACACTGTCGGGGCTTTGTGGGAAAAGTCGTTAGGTTTAGAACGGCCATGGATACTAACCAGGAAATCATAATTCCGTGTTCCAGCCATTATGGATTATGGCAATATTTGGGTAGAAGTTAAGCGCGGAGGCTAGTAGCACCGTGGAAGATGGATAGGAGGCCGAGGTGATCCGGAGATTCCACAAATCGAGTGACAAGGGGTATTGTTTTTTTGTTTCTTCAGTAAATTGGGCTGGGGTAAAGCGGGAGAGGTAGATGCTGCTGCAGGATGAATCGGAGCAATCAGGTAGTTTAGGTTGATGGTTTTCCCAACGCCGAGAGGACTTATCAGGAGCTTTGTCAAATGCTGGAACCGATCGGCCCAAGCTGGTAAAAAGGCAGTAATATGAGGGGATGGTAGACTTCAAGCAGAGATCCACAATCAAGCATACATGAGCTAAAGATTTTGGAGCGTTATATGGGAAAGGAGGTAGAACGATGCACTACCTACGGAGTGGAGGTGATGACGGTACGGTAAGGAGGATCTCGGTATGTTATGTAAGCAATATCGGGATAACACCTAACTACTACCTCCAGGGCTGGACCTATATCCATGGATTGTATATTGATATTGACATAATTTTGAGCCCACATCAATGATTTGCGTACATATCGATAATACGTAATGTGTGATGACACGTAGTATATCAGGTATTTCCTACAAAAAACTTACTGCCACCAACTCCTATTGGAAATACGCCCATCTCATCCTTTCAATCACACGAAGTTGCTTGTCCACTCCATTCTGAACATTCAACAGATCCTGGATGTCTTCTCGGAACTCTTCGTACTGCATGCTTCCAGAAATGATCTTCATGTGTTGAAGAAGAGCTTCTGCCTCACAGATCAATTGCCCAGAGTCCTTGTAAGCGAGAGTCCCATTGGATAAAACCGCAGAGGAAGTCAAAATGCGAGCCACATTCCTGTATGAAAAGTATCAGAATTGGCCTTATGGAGAATTGTACGCCAGTTTGAGAGCATCGAGCATCATACCGCAATCCACGTCTCAGTTCATGTCGCTGCTTGCCCTTTCGCATTCCTCGTCGGCTACCGAGAAGACCACCTAGCCACCTCATGGTTGCAAAAGAAACCAAGATCCCAGGAGTTAACCCAACAAATCTAGACGATATTGATGGTTAGAAAAGAAAACAAAGGGAAGGAGACCTGACATACCCAAATACAAGCTCCTGGCTCTTCAGCAAGGCATCGATACCACTGATAGCAATTTCCACGTCGACTTTCGTCTTCTGGATCTGGATCAAAAGGGCACGGATGAGGTCGCCTCTGACGGTTCCAACGAATGGCGACCGCAGATCCCTTTCATATGCTTTTAGAACGGGAGTCAAATCGCCCTCCTTAACAGAATTAACGATGGCGCTGGTATCCACCACCACACTCTGGTGAGGATCCGGGCGATCGCGGACAAAGTCCACTACCATTCTCTCTAGGCTCGCCCGATCAGCCAGCAGACTGTTCTTGCTCATTATCGCAATCTCGCTTTTTTCGTCATGTCGGATCGTCCCAATGAGTTTTCGGATTGGGTGCACAACCCAATTACCCCAGAAATCGATGGTGGTGGAGCCGATATCGACAATCGATTGAATGATTTCCTCTTGTCGGTTAGCCAAAAATCTCATTGATGCACTTCCTGAAAGGAGAGCGATTGAGACTGGTAACCAATAGCGAACTATGTATGAAGGGCGCCCGTGGCGACGAATAAATAATGACATTGAAGTGGTATGGTTGGGCAACTTCTTTCGAAGAACATGCACAAGTCGCTCGATTAAGTCCAAAGGTTTATGCACGGGATTTTCTCCTTGTGCGCGGGTTCCAATGTTGTCAATATTTCTCTCCAGAGTGGCGAAGACCCCCTGCTCCAATTCGTGAGTGCTAGGTTCAAGTGCTATATGATGAAAAATGGCTTCGATTAGAACCACTGCTCTGTGAACAGCATCACACCATTGGGTGTTGATAGTCCCGGGGCTTAAATTCGTGGAGTCATTCCCTTCGAAAAGATGCCATCCCTCCATTAGAAGGCCCAGGCTGCTGGTATGGAGGTCTTTCATTTTCAGGAGCAAGTCTCGTTTCTGTCGCATTTCTGTGCGGGATGATCTAATTGGGGATAGAAAGTGGGCGTGTATGGAGTGTCCTCCGAGTCTCCAAGCACTTTGGCGGACAATCTGGTAAAACTGGGACCACCTAGTAGTGATGGATGGGGATGCTTGACGGGTTTGAGCAGCATATGCATCCTTTGTCCACCGGCAGAATTGGGCTGGAGATTTCTGAACGGTATACAGACCACTATACCAGATAGATCCCAGCATCTCACCCCAGTAATAAGTCTCATCATGCAGTTGAAGTGTTTGATCCAGAAGGGTGTTCATGATCAGTCCCGATACCTGAATGGCAGCCTTTGCCGCCACTATCCATACATGATCCGAGAGTTGTGCACTAATTCCTTCATGGAAAGTGGTCTGTACTTGGAGGCGAGAGAAAGTACCCGAAAGTAAATCTGCCAACCGACTGGGAGGTAGAAGGGATTGGGTCTTGGAAGTCACCGAAATGGAGTTGATGAGATCTTGCAATTGGCCAATTGACTCAAGAGATTCATTGGATAAATCGGTAGCCTCTAGTCTCTGTGGGCTTGAGATCTGTTGCTGAAGGCGATCCAGCTGATTGTTGACGCCACAAACAGTTCTGTAAAGAGCCAAAAAAAAAAAAAAAAACAATTTTAGTCCAATGTTTTTGTTTTTCCAGAAAATGTATCACACTCACTCTCGTATAACAGACATCCCCAGGATCTTCCAATGGGTGTGAGGTATAGCTACCGTCAAAAGCCGACCATAACACCTAAAAGAGCTATGGGGATAGTGTAGGGAATAACAGTTGCAGGATTAAGGTTGATGTCGTCATGCAAAAGGGCAAATCATGCAAATCATGCAAATCATGCAAATCATGCAAATACAGCGGCAAAATGAATCCAACTGACGCAAACTATGCAAACTGTACTTGAGCCTACACGGTAGAGAACATACTGAGTCACGAGGTCATAAGATTACAAAGTCCGCCGTACTTTTATTTACTTTATTCTTACTCCGTACTTTATTCCTACTTTATTTCATTCCTTTGAAGTCAATATTTCTCAAATTAAAAAAAATACTGAAAAAAGAAGACAAGATCATAAGATGTATATAGAAATAGTCTTAGTAAATGGGGTCTGGATTTTTACTGGAGTCCCCCGGGGATGTTTCAACCAAACAGAAAGCAGCGAAATCCGCATTACCTGATTTTATGCAGGTGGGGTGATCTCGGATGGGGATCGGCTTGCCAGTGGCCTTACCCCTACGTTCAGGGGAAAAAGAAAAAAAAAAAGGTGATCTCGCCACGTCGGGATTGGACTGTTCCTTGAATCTTGATCTTATCCCTTTTTCCCTTTATAAACCTTTGATAGAATCAACTTCTGGCTCTAGCTTGGGTTTCACAGCGTCTTATCTTCTTCCCCTTTATCCTTTTCTCTTTCTACGTTCTTCTTTCTGAACATTTTCTTTCTGAACTTCCTTCCTTGTATCCGCTTTTCCCTCTCTTAACTATTTAAGGGAACAACCTTGACAATGTATGGTAATCATGTCCTTGGCCTGTCATATTTATCTAACCTCTGATATAGGAATTCAACGGTCTTGTCCTCGGGGACATACTGGGGCCAATTCGAGGAGATTGGCAAGTACAATGCCGAGCTGAATGTGGCAGAGAGGTTGTGGGCAGCCTGGTATGCTTGGATGCAGAACGACGTCCTGGCCACTGGAATCATGTCATTCGCCATGCATGAACTGGTCTACTTCGGTCGCTCGCTGCCTTGGATTTTCATTGATACATTGGGAATGTTCAACCGCTACAAGATTCAGGGTGTAAGTAGCAACACCATTCGGTTCATCTGGTCGTCTCTAATACTATGCAGAACAAGATCCCATCGCTACGGGAACAATGGGATTGCGCCAAGTTCGTCCTCCTGAGTCATTTCACCGTCGAACTCCCCCAGATCTGGTAAGACACGAGTATCTGTTTCTAAATTCGGGAATATTCGAGGGTCTAACATACATATCTTAGGCTCTTCCACCCATTGGCACAATTCTGTGGACTCTCAACTTCGATCCCATTCCCGACCCTTTGGACCATGGCATATCAGATCGCAATCTTCTTTGTGATGGAGGATACCTGGCATTACTTCTCCCACCGTGCTCTTCATTGGGGTCCCCTCTACAAGGCCATTCACAAAATCCACCACCAGTACTCGGCCCCTTTTGGCTTGGCTGCTGAATATGCCTCACCGATTGAAGTGATGATCCTGGGCTTCGGGACTATCGGGTGCCCGATTGTTTGGTGTGCGATGACAGGTGAACTCCACATTCTTACCATGTACATCTGGATCGTCTTGCGCTTGTTCCAGGCCATCGATGCTCACAGTGGTTATGAATTCCCGTGGAGCCTTCACCATTTCCTTCCCTTCTGGGCTGGTGCCGATCACCACGATCTACACCATGAGAAGTTCATCGGCAACTATTCCAGCAGCTTCCGGTGGTGGGACTATGTCCTTGACACCGAGTACACCCCGGATGCGCTGAAGCGCCGAAGGGAAAACAAGGCCAAGGTTTCGAAGGCCCAGTAAGCAGTTTGCCTGTTTACCTTTCTTCCTTCACGTGATGCCTGCCTCTTTCAATCCCTATTGGGGTATTTCTCTGCAGTGTTCGGTCCTGGATATCGTCCAGTGAGCGTGTGTAGTTTCTCATGATACTTACTATCTTCGAGATAGTAATGTGATAATGTATTTAATATTTCAACATGCCTTGTGATAGAATGAGCCATTTTAGATTTTCAATAGAACCACTATCAATAATACATTTCTATTGTCCTGCAATGGTGATCCGAGGAGACATTCTCGTATTATCGTGGTATACAACGATGAGAATTTGCACATTTCAATCACAAAGCATAGCTACCCTTTCTTTATATATAATTTTTAAAGGTAAAGTCTTTATTAAATTATAGTTGAAT